TCAGGCCGATGAGAAATGGTCATGGTCGTGCAGGGAGAGAGAGAAGGGATAAAATGGAACCCGCTTTTTATAGGCACCCTCACCCCCACTCACCCACCCACCCCCCGACCCCCAGCCCCCTCATATGCGCATATGGGCTTATGCAGCTATACCACCCATGTGCATAGATTACGTGATCACGCAGTGCACTGATTACATACGACATAAGGCTATGGAATGACTAAACCTCTTGCTTGGCTACTGGACAGTGCGTGGGTGGTCAACATATAAATTTCTTAAAACTGTGTCTAGTTCATAATAGGGACTGCGGGAGAGTAGTAGTATTAGAAAACATGTTGCAAAATGTGGTTACCATAAAACAGGTCTTGTATTTTAAAAGGAGTGAAAACATGTATAACTAGTTAATCCAGAGCTGTTTATGCTCTGACTAGAAATTTTCCTGTCAAGTTAGAACAATCTAAACCTAATATTAATCTCTCATTCTCATATGATTTACAGGGGCTAGAGAGATGGCTCAGCCTCAGCCGGTAAGAGCACTTAACTGCTCTTGTGGAAGACCCAAGTTGGATTACCAACACCCACACAATCACTCACACCTATCTATAACTCCAGTTCCAGGGGATCCAATTCCCTCTTCTAACATCTGTGAGTCCCAGGAGCACACGCGGTGCACAGACATATCTTCAGACAAACATTCATGTACATAAAATAAAATAAACATTAGAAAAGAAATGGCAGGATTTACACAGGGGCTGAATCTTTAGACGTGTTGAGTAATTAGATGCTGTGGTGACAGCCTAAGCAGACACAGACTAAGAAAGCTTGGGTTCCAGTGCTGAATATTAATACGACTAATGGTAGATTCTCTAGAAATGCTTTTTTCTTGTCATTATGTACTTTAGGTGAGTGGACTTTCCAAAGGAGTCAAGTCAGAGATACAAACAGCAAAGGGGAAGTCTGTGTATTTGATCAGAATGTTCTTCAAGGTTCCTGAGCAGGTGGCAACATTACTCTTTGAAGGGAATCAGCCATGGGCAATGCAAGCCAAAGAAGTGGTTAGAGCTGTCAACATCTGTTTTGCAACTGGATAAATAGCTCAGCAAATTTACTTTGGGCTACAGATAACGGAAACCCTTTAGTCCAAAGGGGACACAAAATAAGCAAACAAAATGTTGTGACAACATGAGACTACATTGTTAAGACCTGCCATTGGTATCGTTGATGTCACTGAGGACCAGGACCCTTTGAGGAAACACACCCACCAGTAACCAAGACAACTTTCCACTGGTTTCTGCCACACTTCCTTGCCTCTGTCTACCTACACAGTCTCATTCTTTTTAACCTCTCAAAACAGTTTTCATTTTTCTTTCTCTAAAAACGAATGTCACTTACAACGGCCAGCCTACTGCAGTCACCTCTGCTCCAGAACGTGTGTCGTGTGTCACCCCACTTAAGGCAACTGGCGAAACTCGCATTTCTGAATCCTCACTCCAAGCTGCCGACTAAAAGACCAATTGACCCAGTTCAGTTTGAAGTTTGGCCCTAATCCAGTCTGCTATGTCCAAAGAGGAAGCCATGTCCAAATATCGTGGTCATACGAGTGGGCTGTAGAGTTCAAACCCATGGCCGCCTTAACAGGTTCTGGTGGTGCATCCCTCAGAGGAAGAAGGCCGTGGGACAGGCCCTAAAATAACTACTTCTGCGAGAGTGGAATTTGTGTTAAATGACTGTGAAGTTAGAGAACCGGTCAAATGCTTGTTCATATTTTCAAAGAAAATCAATAAGACGTGGTTATATCAAAACTAAGGAATAATAATATTCTTGCAGCTCCTCTTAAAAGGGGGCCACATTACAAACTGCAACACCAGGGGCTAAAAAGACAACAGAGGCAGGTGGGTGTGTGCATATTGATCTGCTTTACACCTACACAACTTCTTCATTTGGGGAAAGCTCTGTGTGATTAAAGAAAAAGCCCCAAGACCATTCTAGCAAGGTCAGAACAATTTTTTTTAAGGAATAAAAATAACTCTGCATCACTTTTTCTACTTCTTGACTTATTTTGCTAAGTTATTAGCTAAGTTTAGCCAGAAAAAAAATCCTCTGCAATCGTCAGTGAATGGAAACAGCATCAGCAGAGAGCTTTACAAAGCAGGAGACTTCTCAGTCTTTGTAGGGTTTCAGGACTCATTGACTACTGATTTCCATTCTGCTTTGTGTATGACTGCTGCCCTGACATAGACCCTGGGTCACTAGGGCATGAGAAGATAAGAAGTTTGTCACTGCCCCTGTTCCTATAAGTTAAAGTGTGTGTGTGTGTGTGTGTGTGTGTGTGTGTGTGTGTGTGTGTGTGTCTGTGTGTCTGTGTGTCTGTGTGTGTCTGTGTGTGTCTATGTGTCTGTGTGTCTGTGTGTGTCTATGTGTATGCATGTGCAGGTGCACACAGAGGCCAAAAAAGGGTGTCACCTCCCCTGGAGCTGGAGTTCCAGGTGGTATGAGCCACCTGATATGGATGCTAGGACCTGAACTCAGATACTCTGAGGACCAGCGGCCCTCTTAACCTTTGAGCCATTTCCTCAGCCACCCTTCCCATACTTTAGTTGAAATTCAATTAGACAGCCTCTAGAAGTTAATATAAGGTCCACAGAGGAAAAGATTTTGACTCATGATCTATAGATCTTCTCTCTCTCTCTCTCTCTCTCTCTCTCTCTCTCTCTCTCTCTCTCTCTTTCCCCTCTCTCTCTCACTCTTGCTCACACACTCTCTCTGAAGAGACATTTTTGAAAACAGAAACCCTGTAGTAGCTAAATTGATATGTTATACCTGAAGGTGGGACCAGAAAAAAAAATTAGTCATACCCCCAAAATATCTTGCAAAATAAAATGAAAAAAAAAAAAAACTACTATGCACTGACAGTGAGGTAACTTATAGAGTACATTTATTTAGCCTCAATTTTAAAGCTTTGGTTGCTTTTGTAATTAAGTCGAGGAACAGTGTTCTACTGCAAAAACATTTTTGGTTGGGGTTCCAAATATTTCCTTTGTAATAAGCCCTGCAGCTTCCACCTTTAGGTCCCAAATCTGCAAGCATTGCATTGAACAAGGAAGACTACTTGGGTGCAATAAAAGAAGGCATTATTTTTTTTCCTCTACTGTTCTAAGAGATTATTTCTTTCATTTTATTTCCCCTAGAAAACCTTAGGAAGTCACTATGATCTTTCTCTTTATTTTCATAAACCTATATGAATATTTCCAAATAACAATAATTTTAAAAACACATGTTCATTAAAAGCTTAAAAATATCAAGGGCTAGAGAATGGCTTGGTGGTTAAGAGCATGCACTGCTCTTGCAAAGGACCTGAGTTCAGTTTCCACACCCATGTCAGGCAGCTCACAATTGCATGTAACTCTAGTTCCAGGGGATCTGATGCCCCTCTGGTCTCTGAGGGCAGCAGCTGAGTGTGTGCTCACACACTCACATGCACACAGGGGCACATGCATACACACACAGACACAGGATACCCATAATTTAAAATTGAAATTTTTCTCCTCTGCACCTTTCACCCTGCCCACATTTGTTCTGCTTGGGGTAGCAGCTGTGGGGAAAGGGGGTGTATGGCCACTCTCTTTCCCCACCTGGCCAACTCTCTAGATTCCCTCCACCCCCTCCTAATGGTGGGTAGGTGGAGAAGGCAAGGATGAGGAAAGCATTCAGTTCCATGAATACTACCATGCCAATATACTTTGGGGATTGCCTGGATCTGACACATGGTCAAAGCTGGGCTTTTTTCTCTTAACGCACTTGTAGGCTCTTGGAAGCTTCTTTGAGCTTATCATGCACAGTTCCTGTGATGGTCCATCTGCTTTGGTGAAACTCTTAAGCTGGATATAAGACAGTCTGATAGGGGTTTTCCACTAGCCCAGAGGAAAGTGCTCATGCCTGCTTAGCAGGGAAACTGGATAGGCAAGTTGCAATAGCTCATCAAAGGGCATCAAAATCTCAACTTCAAACAGCAGTTTCTGCTGCTCTTCTCTCCACAGTCACAGCCAGATGGCCGCTGTCTTCTGCTATGTAGGTATTTTTTTCAGGAGTAAGTCACACAAAAGCTTTAAAAGAAGTGTAGCTCCCCATGGGGATCATTTCCCTAGTGTCCCTACCCTTCCACACACACACACACCCCAATCACCCCCTTTCTCTTGCTCTGCAAGATAGAGAGACTGGAAGCTCACAGAAGGATCTTTGCAAACAGTGATCTTCAAAACTCCAACTCAACTCTTTTCTACCTTCAACTAGGAAGAGGAGATAACAGTTTCCAGCTGGGTTTTGAATGCCTCCTTTGCAATCTTTGATGCTGGCTTAAGGCCTTGTTAAATGCAAAATAACTAGCTGGCCACCAACACTTGGGGTGTAGCTTACAGTAAAACTTATAGTTTTATTTCACACTGTGCTGTGTTCAGGCACACAGACAACACATGATGCTTCTTCTATAGGAAAGCTCTTAACAAGCTCGGATGTTACTCTGAGGGCTCTGTGGAGATTCTTTTAAACATGGTACCAAGTAAGAGCTTAAAGGAGGTAGAAGCAACTCACTCAAAGCTCTGGGCTAGAAAGCTCCTGTGATTACAAATCCCACCGGGCAGCAATAAACTGCAAAATAATTTAAAGCAACTGGAATTGTTTGGTCAAATAGAACAAGAAGCCAAATTCCTGCCAGGCCATGAAGGAGCGACAACCTCCCTAGGAAGTTTAAGAATGGGTAATCTAGGGGCTGGAGAGATGGCTCAGAGGTTAAGAGCACTGCTTGCTCTTCCAAAGGTCCTGAGTTCAATTCCCAGCAACCACATGGTGGCTTACAACCATCTGTAATGAGATCTGGCTCCCTCTTCTGGCCTGCAGAGATACGTGCAGACAGAACACTGTACACATAATAAATAAATAAATCTTTAAAAAAAAGGGAAAAAAAAGGTGGCTGGGAGGCCGCTCCATAGGGTCCTAGTGCCCTCATGCCTCACAATCTTCACAAAGGCATCCAAGGTGCCGGTGAATCGGGTAGGATCCTGAAACCAGGTGGTACAGCGGGTACCATTTGGGCACAGGTACAGCGGCTCCAGGACGCCGTTGCAGTAGAGGAGGCACTTCCCTGGGGACTGCAGAGCAGAGGGCGATTTGGTGTAGGAAAGACTCCAGAATCTGGAAGGTGTCAACTCGCTGGCTACTGAGGGCCTCTGAGACTGAAGGCGGACCTTCACCACATCCAGGGGTGTCATGAAGAGGGAGGTGACCACAGCCCCAGCTCCCGAGGCCACCATTTGCTGAAGGGGGCTAATGCCCCCAGGATCCTGATCATCCATCTTGGAGTTTCAATCCTGGCTCTGAGCCGGTGCTTGCGCCGCGCCGCGCCAGGGGCCTGGCGGGCCCATAGCGGCTCCGCGACCGGTGCAGGGTCCGCGCAAGGCGTTCCTGTGTGCTCAGTCCTTGACCTCTGACCTCTGTGCACCCATGATGGCTGGTGCCCTCGCCCGCATGGGCACCGTGACGGTGATCAGCCCCTTGGAGCTTGTGCGGACCAAGCTGCAGGCTCAGCACGTGTCCTACTGGGAGCTAGCTACTACCTGTGTTCAAGCTTCGGTGGCTCAGGGGGGCTGGCGCTCACTGTGGCTGGGCTGGGGTCCCACCGCCCTTCAAGATGTGCCCTTCTCAGCTCTGTACTGGTTCAACTATGAGCTGGCAAAGGGCTGGCTGAACGGGCTGAGACCGAAAGACCAGACGTCTGTGGGCGTCAGCTTCGTGGCTGGTGGCATCTCAGGAATGGTGGCTGCCACTCTTACTCTGCCCTTTGATGTGGTGAAGACCCAGCGACAGATCGCACTGGGGTCCGTGGAGGCTGTGAGAGTGAAACCTCCAAGAGTTGATTCCACTTGCCTCCTGCTTCGGAGAATCCAGGCCGAATCAGGCACCAGGGGCCTCTTTGCAGGTTTCCTCCCAAGGATCATCAAGGCTGCTCCCTCGTGTGCCATCATGATCAGCACTTACGAGTTTGGCAAAAGCTTCTTCCAGAGGCTCAACCAGGAACAGCCTCTGGACCACTGAAAGGCAAGGAACAACCAACTCTTGCGCGGGTCGGGACAGGAGACTGAGCCAAGTGCCTTCCCTCCCACCCAGTCATCCAGGCTACCCTCAAACGTGGGTTCCTGCTGTTCCCACCACGACCACTCGTCCACCTCCAAGTTCAAGACCAAATCTAACAGCCGCCCTTTTCTTTGTATCCCTGATATTTGTTGTAGCCTGGCTCCGAGGAATCAGGATCTCGGGCCAGGCAGCCCTGTTTATTCCCCATCTAAAGATGATGACCTTCTGTGCAAAAAAAAAAAAAAGAAAAAAGAAAAAAAAGAAGAATGGGTTCTCTAAAAGAAAACAGCAGTAATCTAAGCCCTTGAGAGGTGAAAGCAAAAAACTGTGAATCGAAAATCAGCCTGGGCTACATGATGAGTTTGAAGCTAGCCCATGCTGCATAACAAAACCTTGTCTCAAAGAGCCAGTGGCTAAGGATATAACTCAGAGGCATTCTGTTTGCCTATCATAGTCAAGACCCTGTGTTCAGTCTCTAGTGCTATAAGAAAGCAAAAAGTTTTCCTGGTGCTTCTTGAAGGTTTATTTATGTTTATGTGTTTGGGTATTTATTTATTCTATGTGTTTCTGCCTGCATATATGTCTCAGACCAAGTGTATGCAGTGCCCTGAAGGTCAAAAGAGGGTGATGGATTTCCTGGAACTGTAGGTAATAGACAATTGTGACCCTCTGTTTGGGTGCTGGAAATTGAACTCAAGTCCTCCAGAAGAGTAGCCAGTGTCCTTGACCACTGAGCCATCTTTCCAGCTCTGTTTTTTAAAATATATGTACCCCTTCATCCCCCACCCCCATTCCTCCCTAATTCCCACATTACCACCCACTTAAGAATCACTACTTTAGTAGTAATGGATTCAGAAAGCTAACCAAAACTTACTGAAATAAAACAGTATTTGCAACCCTGAATGTTATTTGGTACATCGCTCATGTTCACCTGCTAATCTCTCATTTCTCCCCATCTAATAGGTGCCAAATGTGTGGAGGATGGAGAGCCTTCTCCATCCTTCCAAAAGCCCATAATCCACATTAAGAACATGTATCATGGGCCTGGAGAGATGGCTCAGAGGTTAAGGGCACTGGCTGCTCTTCCAGAGGTCCTGAGTTCAATTCCCAGCAACCACATGGTGGCTCACAACCATCTATAATGAGATCTGGTGCCCTCTTCTGGCCTTCAGGGATACATGCAGGCAGAACACTGTATATATAATAAATAAATAAATAAATAAATAAATCTTTAAGAAAAAGGATATGTATTATGATAGATTCATTAGCAAATAAGCCAAATTCTATCTAAACTAGACCAAGAAGTAAGCAGTAGCTGCCTCTGACCTTTTCCCTGTTTTTAAGTTTCCTTTGGTTTTCCTTTCAATTATCTCCGTGTCAAGTTACAGCATTAAAAGAGAAAGCCATCCCAGGGACTAGGTCTAAACAAGTTTCTTTGACTTAGTGATTCTTTAAGATGCAGACCCTAGCTCTCTCGGCATGTTTAAAACACGTGCCACTATGGGTGGAAGGCTCAGAAGCAAGGAGGAAAGGTGAGTTCAGCTTTTATGTGGACGTTGTAGAGAATGTGTCAAGGTACGGGAGAAGACTGGAGTGACGTTGGCAGTGATGCATTAAAAATATGTGACATATGTAAGATGTCAGCATCAGGAAATGGAATCCTGTCCCAGGGGAAACAAGTCAAAAAGGGGAGCCATGGTGAGATTTCATTTGTACTGAAATGTGATTTTATTTGTAGGTTAATAAGTAAAGTTGCCTGGGGGTCAGAGCTAATAGCAAGCCATTTAGCAGAAGTCTGGCAGTGGTGGCTCACACCTTTACTCCCGATCACATGACAGGCAGATCTCTGTGTGTTCAAGGATACAGCCAGCATGGAGACACACGCCTTTAATCTCAATACCAACCATAGAGACCTGGAGGTCTGTATAGACAGGCAGTGACAAGGAAGTCATATGGTTGGGTTTACAACCAATGAGAAGGCAGAACAGAAAGTCAATAAAAAGACAGATACACAGGAAATAGGTCTCTCTTGGAGGGGAAGGACAGCAGCGGCAGTGAAGGGTAAGAAAGGGTTTTTAGTATCAGCTCTTAGCTACTGCTCTGACCTCTGGGGCTTTTAACTCTGCATTTGGCTCTGTGTTTCTTATTTAATAAGACTGTTACATCTACAGGGAGCCATTGGCCCTGGGCCTGAGCATTGCATAGAAGCTCAATAGCCCAAGAAGAGTGTTGGTGGGGGCTTGGAAGAGGTGAGGGGGGGTGTTAGTGTGCATGTAGAGAGGCTGGCCATGCTGACTGGCCGTCAAGTGGAAAGGACGACTAATGAACTCATGGGTCTGGCAATGACATTTACCAGGCAGAGTGGAGAAGGTGCCAGCTTGCTTCTAGAAGCTTGTGGCAACACATCAGAAAAGACTCATCAACCTAAAGAATTGTTCAGTTTTCCAGTAGAATTTAGAGAAAATATGAAGTCAGGACTCAAGTGGCTTGAAAAGAGAAAATGTGTATTCATTACTTTTCCATTACTGTGATAAAACACCAGGATCAAATGCAACTTAAGGAAGAAAAGGTTTCTTTTCGTCTGTGGCTCTAGACAGAATCCAGCACAATGGAGGAAAGTTGCCATGGCAGCAGGAAGCAGACAATGACATTATGTTTCATTTGCACACAGGAAGTGGGGAGAGAAAACAAAGTGGACCAAGGCTACAGAGCCTCAGAGCTCACCCCAGAGACACACTTCCTCCAGCCAGGGTGCCCCTCCTTAAGGTTCCATAACCTTCCCAAACAGCACCAGGAACCGAGAACCAAGTATTCAAATACAGGGGCCGACGAGGGACATTTCTCATTCAGATCACAAGGTGCTTCTCTATCTCCACTGTCTCCTGCAAAGTCATCTCCAAGAAATAGCCTGGAGGCAAAAATCACATTCAGAATAACATAAGCAAAGTACAAGCTCAAGGTTGTGACTTCTGAAGACACGGTGCCTTTTAGGACATTCAGGAGCACTGCAAGGTATGCTAGAGGACTGCACAGAGGAAGCATATCCTTCTCAGGCATTCTCATGGAGCAACAGAAACTTCTAGAACCTGGCAGACATCAGCCAATAGCAACTTCATATGTGCTTAAGGCAGAGAAGGGCTAAGAGAGAAATACTGTCGTGGCTTTTGTGTGGAGGAGACTATAATGAAATTGGTACCTAAGAAACCAAAAGAACTTATAAAGGAATTGCATTAGCTTGGACTGATGGAGACGGTTTCAGAGGTAAAGCCACCATTGCGCATCAGTCCTCAGAAGGCGGGCTGAGAAGACTGCTCAACTCCAGACAGACTACACAGAAAGAAACCCGGGGAACAACAGCAAGTGCCATAGAATGTACTCTCCAAGGAGCAGAACTCGGCCAGTGTGGAGGGACTAGCAAAATACTTAGAGTGGGTGGGTGCTATATGCCTGCTGTTGAAGTGTCTGCTGATGCATCCCTGCTTCCACCATTGTGTACTGGAGACAGGTAGGGTTATCACAGGTCTGCAGGCAGAAGCTCACAGTGCTCGGTGAAATGAACTTGAGTTTCAGCTACACATGGTCCTCATTCAGAAAAACAAGTCAACCCTTGGAAGCGGTAGCAGGAGGTAGGAAAAGAGTGACTATTTTGATTTGTAAATAATGAGTCTCTGTCATCATTTCTCAACTCTGCCATTGCATCATGACAGCAGTCACAGACAATATATAAATCAATAGGCATGACGCTCCCAATAAAGCCTTGTTTATAAAAAAAAAAATAGGTTGGATGGGCACAGTCTGTTAACTTCTGACATAATTAGATAAGACTCTGACCATCTAAGATGAGATATTTTGCATGTGAGAATACAAAACATTGACCAATGGTAAACAACAAGCAGATTAAAGAGGTACACACATTCTTTGCACTCCCCAGAATCTGGGTAGTCTGTGACTCCTTGGAACAAGTGAATACAGAAGTAGTGATGTTGTGCTTATTTCTTCAACTCTGAGGTACTGGCAGCCTTCCTTCCTTGTCTCTTAGAAATTCCACTCTTAGGTCCCTGAGCCACTGTGCTGGGTTCCAGCTATCTGCTGCAGAGACTAGATGCAGTGACCCTTACTCTACCTAGTGAAGGAAAGGCTCACTTGAGCCGGTACCGTCTACACAGCAGTCAGGAAAATGAGCCAGACTTGGACCCCTCTAGACTAGGCTAGCCACTCGCTAGATACTTCTGGTTGACAACACACACAGCAAAGGAATCGTCTAACCACAACCAGCCTGAATTATTGTGCCACAAAGTCATAAGATCATGTAATTATTCACTTAAAGCCACTAAGTTTGGGAGGATTGCATCATAAGTAAATGGCCACACACACACACACACACACACACACACACACACACACAATATTAGGAAGACTTCAGGGATTATAGATAATTTAAATTTGGAGTTTTCACTTCTTTTGCTTTTCATAATTTTACAAGTTTTTAGAAATAAATGAATTTATTTGTCTTTAAATACACTTAAATTTATTTAAAAAATAAAAGAATGGATAAAAGTCTTTGTCCTAACTTGAACAAGAAGCAACTGAGAAGCAACTTCCTATTGAAATGGAAAGCAATGGCATGCTCAGATAACCCTGAAGAATCAGCAGTCACTTTCGCTGTTCTGAAGTAAGGGTTTGCAAAGAGGCTAGCACAGGAGCTTTCTCTAGCCCGGAGGAGAGTTGCTGGGGCTCTGACTAGGAAAATGGGAAAAATAGAATGATCACCTTTATTCTTAATTTAGTTTTTGTGTTGTTTTAATTTTCTTTGCCTTTTGAGACAGAGTCTCACTATGTAGCTCTGGCTGGACTGGGAAGACAGATTGTTTCTAAATGTCACCAAGAATAGATGGAGCTAGCTCTTTCCTCCACCTGTATTTAATTTACAGATGTGAAAATGTCACAAGAGTCATGCCCCACATCAGCACAGCTGTATAGTATCCCCACCTGTTACTTCCATCTCAAATGAACAGACTAAGCGGATATATAAGAATACAGGAACAGACTGATATGTAGAACTGAATTGTATTGCAAAATAAATTAAAATAAATTAAAAAAAAAAAGAAGTGAAAAAAAAAAAAAAAAGAATACAGGAACACAAACAGTTTTGCATTCTATCCGACTCCTGCCTCCAGGGGGATATTATTTGTTGTTTTGTTGTATTAGTTAATTTTGTTGCTGTGATAC